GACCAGCCGTAGATCACTCAGACTGCAGTTCCAGATATCCATGATTTCACGTCTAAAGCTGTGTAAAAGGGTTTGGTGTTGCTGGCATAAAAGCGCTAACAAAGTTATTTGCTACATGGACTCTTGCCAATGTGATGTTATTTAACCCAGAATCTTCTGGGAGGTAAACTCTGAATTAGTCATTATTGAACTTCAGCTCATGCTCTGCAATCTCTCTTGGAAAGAAGAAGGAAAGAAAGACTAAGCGCTGCTACAAGGGTTGAGAGGAAGAACAGCAGTGCTGCCATGCTGATGCACCTTAGGAGTGCCATGGGCTTAATGTTGGCATGTATGTAATGCTAATGACTCCCTATGGTGAAGAGTTAGGACAAAGCTGTAACACGAGACACAAACAGGATCTTTGCTGTTTCAGTCACTACTGGGCCTGAATTTCTTCATAATCAGTGAAACAATGCTCTTCTCTGGAAATGTTGTCCTGACACTCCTTCTGTGAAGCACACCATTTGCTTCTATGATGATAAGACATAAATTGCCTAATATTGTTTTACACAGGATTAATCTGGGATAGTTTCTTTTAAAAACAAACAAAATCCCAACCAAACAAAAAAAACAAGCCCAAGCTACACCAGGTGAAATGTTCTTTGATGCTTTGGCTTGTCACTGTTTCCCATAGTTGCTAGGCAATGCTGTACTTAGAGACTAGATTTAACCAAAGGTCTGCTTCCCTCTTGGAAGCAGGCAGCCATCTGTCGCAGCATCACCAGTGTGCTTTCCATCGGGTTATGCAAAAGGATATGGAAATATCTGTTACCAATCAGCAGATGGAGACATTGCGTATTGATAGTAGACCTTCAGTTCCTTAGGCATTAGCTCGAGGCTGTTCTGTATCTCTGGATAAGTCACAAGAAGCTGTTCATAGCAGCAAACAAGATTTCCCTCTCTTGAAAAGTGTTATAGGGCTCTCTTCTGCAATCAAGCCCATTCTCATGTGCTGAGGGAAACAAACAGGGAAGTACTCAGTTGAATGTGTGTTTGGGGGGCTGTGATTTGTTTTGAGCCTGGTCTCAATGAGTGTAATGTTGTAGTCCTTTCTGACTTTTCTGGAAACATTTTTCTTTGCAAGGAAAGCAAAAGAGGCCCCACTAAGAAAAATTCAATTGCTGATAAGATAGGCATGCCTAATAACCCTAGCACTCCCACTGAAATGTTCTGTCCATTAATTACGATTCTAAGGTAAAGAACGAGCCATTTATCTGGGTTTGACAAAATTGACTCTTAGATGACATTGGATCATCCAGTGGCAATGAGTTACTCAGATTAACTACACTACAGTACTGCTCTTCTTGTTTGCTCTGAATTAGTTTCATTTTAGACCTCATTATTTCTTATAAGGAACAGTTAATAACTTTTAACAATTCAGCTTGCTCTCTTGACTATGCAGGCTTCTGCCATAGGCCCTGCAGTTACCCTTTTTCAGGATTAGAAATGCATACCCAGTTAGTCCTCATGTGGAAGCCCTTCCCTGATTTCTACCATCCTTGTCTTCTTTACAGCTTTTCCAGGTCTGCTAAAGTTCTTATATAATCCTCAGTAAATCCTGAAGTCATTAGAGCATTCTGTCATTCTGTTTGATCCCTGCAGAAAAAGGAAAAATTCAACCACGAAGCTTCTCAAATGTCTTTTCATTCAGTAGGAAAAAAAAAAACAACCCAAACCAAAACTCAAAAATATCTGAATTTTAACTTTAGTATCTCACTGTTTAATGGAAAACAGATGACCATGTCTTTGAGCAAGAAATGGGCACTAGGCAGCTTCTCTTAAGTAATTGACTTGACAAGTGGACTTAAGTAATTTATTTTCTGCTGCTCCTTCCTTCTGGTGCTGTGAATGTAGACTTTCTTTCTAAGTAGTGCTGCTGCAGCAAGACTTGTAGAAAGCTGTCTACAGCCCACTGGTTGAGTTTTGCAGTCGGAAAGTGAGC